ATAAAAATATATTTAATCATATATACATATATATAATATGTACTTTTCATTGTATATATAGTTAAGCATTACAAAATTTTGGAGAATCATTTTCATCACACTAAATTAAAGGCGACTTCCCAGACGACATGGCCAAGTCAATATTATAGTAAATATTACACACACGCGACATGCATAATTAGCCATATGAATGTAGGCTAATATTCAGCGAATGTACGTACATTATGGTCACGTCGTCTGAAGAGCAGCCTTAAGAAAACTTCATAAAACATATGTTTGAAAGTTTACTTTCAAAAATATAGTGTCAAAATTGAAGGAAAAATTTCGTTTTTTTTTCTAAAAATTTCGAATTATTTTAGTAAAATTGTGTACGTTTAATGTTCTATCAAATATTTAACTACAGTTTTTTTTGAAATTTTTGGGAAAGACAAAACTTTTCCTTTAATTTTGAAATTCTCGTTTCTATCAATGCAGTTTAATTTTAATCTCGGTTCAACTTATTCTTCATCTTTTTTCTTATTCTTAAACTTAACTAGAAAAAGGTAAGTTAACTGAACCGAGATTAAAGTTAAACTGCATTAATAGAAATAGCATAGTTTGTTCATTTTGAACGATATATATGATTACACAAAATTTTCGTTTTGAATTATGTAATTTTTTAGAGTATATATATATTGAATATTAAAGGAGCAATAATAACTTAATTTCTGTGAATTAAATAACATTTTATTACTTTTAATCCTCATGTAAGTCAAAAAATAAATCAATCCATTTTTATAATGATTAGTTTCACAGTAAATACTTTTTAAATACACAAATACTTTCTAAAAACGTCAAAGCATACGTAAGAATTATTTGTAATTTTGTATATTCGTCAAAGTAAATGATGAAAATTAATTCGAAACATGAATGACTCCATCCTATGTAGTACAGGACCAGAAAATCATGAACTAAAGGTTAACAGTGCATTTTATAACCATTCTGTCTATATTTATGTATATTGCAATGTGGATACGAGTAAGGATCGCAGATAAACGCGCAGATAAATCTTTTCGATTCAATATTGGATGCAGAGATCGAACGACAGCCGGTCGCGAAAGTATTGACCTTCTCCGCGGCGTTTTCCGCATTCCGTGTCGCGTCCTCAGGGTCAGTAATCGCGGCGCCGCCGACAAAATTTCCACCATCGCGGTTCACCGCTGAATCATGGACCGCTAAACTGCGTCTTTAAAGGGGAAGAAAAAAAAAACGAGCGAAAGAGATTTCTTCTCTTCGCGACGATCTGGCACACCGCTGTCGACCGCGATCTCGCGACGAAATCTAAGCCGCGTACACGGCTTATCTTGTAGAAAACAGATAAACTCGATGCATCGCGAGTTGAAGTAGAAAGGCTGACCGGTAACTGACCTCTAATCACTACTTAAGACAGTCGCGTGAAGTCCTTGAAAGCTTCGTGAAAAGGAGCGACTATGGATGCTAAACAACAGAATATAATTACGATAGCGGCTAATTGTCGTTTGTAGAACACGATGTCGTGAGAATGTCCGACTATTCTGCAACCATGCTCCGAAATGCGAAACAGCCGTTCTTGTGGCAAAACCGACATTGCGCCCGTTCCGGTAGACGTCACGCCAGAAGGAGGAAAGAAAATCAAAAAAGGTTCAGAAATATTCTTCAAAATCTGATCAGCATGTATACTTAATTTCCTGAATTCACGTGCGATTCACGAGCGTGAATTCTTCTGAAAATCTCGACTTGTTTTTGCGACTCGATGTGAGAATAAACGGTCGTTCCCCCTACCCCTCTTTTAAATAAACACAAACAATTTTTTGCCTGCCAAAAGCATGAGAGATCAGTCGGCGAGGAATTTCGCAAATCCGCGCAACTCGCGCCGCCGCGGCTCGTCGCTCGCGAGAAGGAAGACAACATTCTGAGTTACTCACCGAAAGCAAATCCTCCGGCACGACGGCGACCGTTCGGGGGGAGAAGGGAGACCGATCGGCAGTATATCCTTCCGTAGAATTCCGGCGAGAACTAACCCCGCGGCGGAGGTAACCGCGTTATCCACGTGTACGAAACGTATTCAGACACACCCGACACTGTTGGCACACGCGAGAAACACGCGAACACCGCGCGACCCGCTGACACGTACGACGGCGCGCGATTTCACGGCAATGGAATTTTGTCACGTCGCGCGTTTTCTCAACGTACGGTACCGCAGACGCTCATGTTGCTGCACCACGGACAGTGAATTACCATTCCAGCTCTTCCCTCTCCAAAGAAGTTTCTGGGCGTGGCTTAGCGCCGTAGAGATCCGAATGACGACGACTGCGCTCGAGGCGCGCTCGCTCGCCGGAAACGCCAACTAATCTCGCAAAACCGCGCGCGGGCCATTTGAATTCATTGTTTGATTATTGAAATTTGCTAACGCTTCTTTCCTTCAAAATAATACCATTCATAAAATATATTTTATTTTATTATATATATGCATATAACAAATATTTCACTGTATATATAGGGTGTTCGGTAAAGATTGTAATAACACTTAATTAAGAGTAGATTCCTGAGATTATTTTAAGATGAAAATTCTAATATCAAAGTGTAAAGAGTAATAGTTTTTGAATTATAAGCACTCAAATATCGCACTTAGATGAAGTTGGATTTTTTGTTGTATTACATCTAAATGCGAACTTTTAGACGACATGATTCGATAATTTTAAGTACTTATAAATTAGAAACTATTATATTCATTATTTTGGTTTATTAGAATTTTTGTCACAAAATCATCTCAGAAATCTACCCTTAACTATTGTTGATTTTCATCGAACATCTGTATATTGTACTGTATTATGTTGTGTTATATTGTATTGGCATGAATAAAAATCGCAGACCAATGCGATAACAAAATTTCAATAAAAATTAAAAATCTAAAAATAAAAATAAAAATAATAAAATCAAACTTTGTAGTTACCTTTATCGACTCATAGTAATTTATCAATTGCAAAGTCATAATTATCGATAATAGATAATATAATATTTTATATATTTTTTTGTATTTTATGAACCGCGAAACTTTGAATGATCAAAAATTAACAAAGCATTGGTATAAAAAATCAGCAAAGAAGCATTTGTAAATTTCTAAGAGTTTCTAATAGTAAAAAATTTGAACTATGAAATTATAAATACAAGTAAAATATCGGAATACAATCAAGTAAGAAGTGATATTACTATTAAAATTTCAAAACTGCAATTTTGAAAATTTGTAAGATTTTAGATAAAAATTTAAATTTTTAGAAAATAAGAAAAATATACCTAATAATCAGACAAATACTAACTATCTTAGCAATTATAATTTTAAATTTTTTAAAAATTTTATAATATATATGTATATAGAGTTGCAAAAATTCGAATTCTCAAAAATTGACAGAAAGTCAAAAGAATATCGGACATATATTATCAGGAAAAATAATATAATTGGCAGAAATTTTTTCATGATAATGCAGATAACTTAAATGCCGGTCATTCAGTGAATGTTCAGTACTGCTAACGATATTCTAAGATAACTATTAAGATGTTTCTGCAACGCGGCAGCCGCTTCAGTTTGTTAACACATATTTCTCTGTGATACAACATTTAATGTGATACAACATTCACGATGCACACCACGAATTTACATCAAATGCCAAACAAAGTACGTGCTATAATTTTATGTATTTAGTCACTTGATTATATGAATGTGGTACGCGTTATCAAAACATAACCTTTCGAATAATAATCATAGCGTAATTATTCGCTGACTTGCAAAAGTTTAATATATATATTTTTCCTTATCTTTATTTTTGACATACATAATATTTTTTCGATGTGTTTGTTCAAAGACTGCATAATCTTTTCATTAAGAAATTTTTCATATTATTTTATATTGGACATGTTTCTCTTTAGTATTTTGTAGCTGTTACACTTTTTATTTTTAGAGCGAAGCAGAATTGACTCCAGAGGAAAAATGGAGGCAAGTTATAAAATTATATAGTTATTTTATAACAAAAACCTTTTGTCGGTTTTTACAGTTTCACTTGTAACGTCTACGATTAGAAAAAAAAATGTGGAAACATATATCAATGTAATTTATATTAAACTAATTTTCTAGAGTGGAGCACATAAAGATGCACGAACAACATCGAGGTCACGAATCTATGCACGCAGAAATGCTGCTTATATTGTTAGTGACATTAACAGTAGCACAGATTGTACTAATTGAGTGGAAGAAGAGGCACTTTAAGTCATACCAGGTGGAATAAAATATTGTTTTCTTTATCACATTTCAAATATCTGAAATTATATATTAATATAATATTTTTTTTGCAGCTTGTAACACTTGTAGCCATGTGGATTATTCCATTTGGAATTAGTTTGAAGAATCACTGGTGGAGATTTATATTTTTATGGCTTTTATCCTCGTGTATAACAGGTTTAGTAGTAAGAAAAGCCATTCAGAGACCAATCGAAGGTACCACACCTAGGTAATGCCAAGTAATTATTAATGATGTATCAGCAATAATCATAAAATAATAAAACTTTATTCCTTTGCAGATTAGTGTACAAATGGTTTTATTTTATTTATAAGCTCAGCTATGTATTGGGTATAATTGGATATATTTTAATTTTGCTTACATTCTTTGGTCTAAATATCATATTAAATGTTAAGCCTCATGTTTGGATGGATTGGGGCATGTTGTTCATATTTTACGGTCTTTACTTTGGAGTATTAGGAAGAGATATTGCTGAAATATGTGCTGACACAATGGCATCACATATCGGAGTACATATTAGACATATGCATTGTATAAGACGTTAAATATATGTTATATATGTAATTTTATAATGTTTAATGTGATTTTCAGTATTATACTCCCGATAGCATGCCAACCAGGATTCTGGAGGTAAATGTTTGTGCAGTATGTGGAAACAAACTTCTAGTTTCTGAGCATGAGGAAGGTGTGATTGAAAATACATACAAGCTTACTTGCGGCCATGTTTTTCACGAGTTTTGCATTAGAGGCTGGTGCATTGTGGGGAAAAAGCAAACTTGTCCTTATTGCAAAGAGAAAGTCGACTTAACGAAAATGTTCCGCAATCCGTATCCTTTTATAATGTAACACGAAAAAAATTACTATTAACAGCCGTTTTATGGCTCAAAAAATATTTATTAAATGCCTTAACGAACAATGCAGTTGGCAACGGCCGCACGTTTTATACGGTCAATTGCTGGATTGGTTAAGGTGGCTTGTTGCATGGCAACCGTTAATTTTGTTTCTAGTTCAAGGTATCAATTGGGCTCTGGGCCTTGAGTAAGTAACAATGTTGGTAAAAATCAACTGTTCTCACATGCATCATTGTTATTGCAACGCTAAAGAGAATGATAACTTATTGTTAGGCATCTCAATACTGTGTTTGTATTTTTGTACATGCTGTTATTATTTTTGTTACTCATAAAAAAAAATTTTATTAGATAGGAAATATAATGCAGTAAAAATCCTACTCTTGTCTAAATTAATGATAATACTACATGTTGACTCTAGAAAAGAGATATCCATAAAAATAGCGTTCGAAAAATCTTATTGACTCAATGAACATATAAACATTTCTTTAAATTAAAGAAACAAAATAGAAAAATTCGTTATATGAAATCTTTCATAATAACAAATATTAAAGCTTATTGAGAATGTGTAAACTAGATATAATGTAAATATATATCTAAAAAAAAGCGTGTCACATATTAATGAGTAATTTAATTAAGAATTAGTGAAAAATGTGATATTTTTGTTTTTTCCTTCTGAAAAGATTTTTTGAACGCATGTTAAAAACATTGTTTTTGAAAATAATTGTTGCATGAATAATATTTCATGAAAGACATGAGGAGGATTAAATCATTGTCCTATTATCTTCTACATTGCTCTATTTAAACTAAATCCGTCTCAACAGTTTTAGCAGTCAAATATCAAGTTATAGTGTTAAATTTCTATTCATTTGTCTTTTATACTTGCAAATGTGTTCTAATAACTTCCTACTATTAACAAATACATTCCATCATTCCTAACTTAAGCCAGTTATGGGTGCTGCTTCCAATATTTGCTTTGTCAGAAAATATGCATTTACAAGAAAATCAAGAATGCATGTATATATTCCGTAAATTGTATGATTACTTACAAAATGTTCATATTATAATGTATAATTTATGTAAAAAATATGTTAAGTTTACATCAAATAATTGACATGTACATATCTTTTTTCAAATTGTGTTAATGATATTTCTCTGATTAATAATTTTGCAATTGTGAGATGTAAATCGGAAAAGTATTTCATTTATGAAATTACAAATTATAATTAGAGAAAATTATCCATCTAATAAATATGTTTCTTTTTATTAGTGAATAAATCGATATTTTTAACTCTGTCAGATTCTATTGCAAATTTGATTGCATAAGTATTCTTAAAAAAATTACTTTTTTTCATTTAATTTTTATTTCCTATAGTAAATCTTTTACGAGTAATAACATTTTTCTAGTAAATATCACAAGTTTCTAGTAAATATCACAGTTTCGCAACATTCAAAAAATGGAGATTAAAGTATTATATTATACATGCATATGTATTATCATTGTTGTATTATAGTTGCACTTAACTCTGTTGCTAGTCGCTCTAAATATTGAGAGATGTTTCTAAAATGTAATATTAATTATTATTTATAATATTTCCTTTTTAAGATCGTTCTAAAGAAGAAGAGTATCCGATATATGTTACATTCTTAATACTTAGTAATTATTACTTTTATTCTGTTCCTTTTAATTCGACAAGTGTGAAGTTTGTTAGTGTATTATGCTGTTTGATTATAATAGTCTAACGAGAATGTAACATGTATCTCTTGTTGTATACAGAAAATAGTATGTAATCGACTATTTGTAAAGAATGCAGCTACTGTCAAGAACACGTCTTTTGCAATAAAATTATGTACAAAACGACATACTTAGCTGTGGTATTCAATTCCTCCGTATTGCGTTCTTGTTAGTCCGGTAGTTAGTCCGGAAGAAAAAATTCATTCGTTGAATTTCTAAAAAACTAAACCTTAAAGTAATAATTTAAATTACATTAATGTGAAATGTATAACTGTATTTATTTTTCATCAATTTCTAACTATTGTTAACTCTCTCACGGCTAAAAAATTTATTACAAGAATCATTTTAATAATTATTGGTAAATTCAAGACCTAATTTGAGAATAATATTTGTAAGTAAGAGAATAAGATATTTTGTAAATTAAAATATATATTAATATTTTTCATAATAATATTAGCGAAAGTAATATAAACGATGAAAAGGAGCGTTATTTAGTTATGAGGGAGTTAAGGTGTATCTTTGTTTCTTGTAAGCAATTTTCCCTGAGCACAATCAATATTGCTTATAATTTATAGAACTTTGAATGAATTTGCGATTATCTTTTTCTTTTCATAATTTTTACAGAGTAACAAATACGAAGGAGGATCAGCATGAAAAAACATCGTAACGGATGTAACGGATTAACTACTACCGCACGCTATATAATAACGCTTAGATAATTTTTCTGCTAACACCGACAGATAAGTTCCTATTTACACTCGAAGTCTTACTAATTGTAAGAGATTTGAGAAAGGATATGATCTCGTTGGACGCGTATAGGGTTCAAGATAATGTATACATGTGTGCGTGTATGTGTGTGGGCACAGTAAGAGAGAGAGAAAGACAATGATAACAACTTATCAGTGATGTTACTAAAAGACTTTAATTAACTTTCTCGTTATTATCGATAGAAAAACAACTTTCATCACATCACGTATCCATAGGTACTTGTCAGACCATGTCGGACCCGTCGCGAGAGTATTATATATAATTCATATTTATATTTATATACATATATATTTGCCTATAAACCTAAAGTCTTTCGCGGACACTTGTGGAATGAAATTCCGAGGCGAGGTGTGAAGGGTGGCGTAGGAAAGTGAGGATGAGATAACAGAGGCCAAGGGTGAAAACACATTTAACGATTATCTTTCAACGAATTCGATGAACAGAGGTGTTGACGTTAACACTCGAAACTTGATCTTTGGCTTGTTGGATAGTTCAGACGCCACGAAACGACGGGATCGTTAGGATGGGTCCAGGGGCAGACATTCACAAACACGGGGAAATTTTATAGATATATTTATTGAGTACTTAGCGTGTAAGAGTATAGAATATATGTTACCTTATTGTTAAATATCATTACATGGTAAATATATTTCTATATATGTATATATATATATATGTGTGTGTGTGATCACATATATTTATACATATATATCTCGTGATGTAGTCTTTAAAATAAACTTGCGCGCAGGCACATGCGCGTGTTTACATGTGTGTTCAAGATATTTACATAATCGCAATTAATATGTACAAGTTCACGAAAAACAGAAAGTAAAGTACAGACGAACGGGCGAGCATTGTGTATCGGTCGTGTCGGTGATCGTCGGTTCGCCGTTTGAGTCCCACGCGAGGATACCGACTGTCGGGACCCGAGCCGCGTTCACCGTCACGCCAATGCCAAGAATAGATGCCAGTAAAATTTTTACTTCCTCCATTTCCTCTTTCTCCGTGTATAAATTGACCGCCGTCTTTATATGAAAGTATAAAGGTCGCTACGGTGAGATGGTTTTTCCTTTTTTTCCTTTTGCGGGCACGGGTGTACGAAACTACCATTGCTACGGATATAATTGTAGGTACCCTAATTAACAACATCAATGTCGCATACGATTGTGGCTCTTCTTTTTTTTTTACGTAGCAGCTCTCTTTTTTTCATCTCGTCGCTCGCGAAAATGATAACAGAGGCTTCTTACGACGCTTCGGACATAGCGAGGGGCTTACAAGATTTATTAAAAGTCTAGGATAAAAATTCTCATGACACCTGTAGTTTCTTACATTCGGATGGCTCTCTGTTTTGGACCTTTCGAGGATTTCTTGGATACGGTGATGTCATTTGCGCGAAAAACGATTGCAGTCCTTTACAAAAATCCAATTAATACTAAAATGTGATTAATTATTTATCTTGAGTATTAAAAGCAGTGTTATTTGGTACTTGATAAGTAATTAATCACTAGTATTACATTTCTGAAGTAAATAATCTCTAGTATTAAATTTCTGTAAGGAATGTGTACGACACACGTCTAAAGTGAGAATCGCCTCGCAATTGATCTTTAAACGCATTCACCGTGTCCGAAGTATCGCGAAGATTCCGTGTTGTATCAGTCGCAGGGCCACAAGAAGCGCTTCGTCGTCAACGGAACGATATATCATTCTTTTTCGTATTATATGTACAAAACGAAATATCACGCGACCGCCGCAATTTCTCGGAGGCATGTAGAAAGAAGCGCGACGAGCGCGTCCGACGAGCGGTGTCTCGCGACTCGCCTGTGTATACATTATATATAATATATATA